CCCCAAAACCCCAAAACCCCAAAACCCCAAAACCCCAATAGGCTACCTATAATTATATTTTATACATTAGTAAATTAAATCATGAATATGAATAAGAAGAAGAGTGCAACCCGGCCAATTGAAGGTAAGCCACAGCCGGATTTGGGGGAGGGTAAAGGGAGGAAGGGGATTTAGGGTGGTGGAGAAGGAGGTGGGGTGGGAAGATAGTGGGGAAGAGAGGGGAGGAGAGGGTGAAGAAGGAGTGGAAGAATGGATTTGGCTAGGTTTATGTGCCGTTTTGCAACATTTTTTCATGGTTTGGATTGTTTTCAACTAGTCAGTTTGAAGAGAATTAGTAAAGGTGACTTGTTATTGAGCGATTTTATTGATTTAAAGGATATATCTGAATCTTAAAAATTAGGGGAAATGAAGAAGAACGATGTTATTCGTCAGTTCCAAAACTCTGTTATAGTTGGAAGAGAAAGAGATCCTTTCTCTACTAAGGGCAAGGCATCGACTAAAAAGCCTTTAAAGGCAGTTGCAGATTTTAATGAGTTACCAGAAAAAGAATCACCATTTAGTGAAAAGACTTATTTCATCACTTGCAGAAAGGGTTGCAATAAGCAAATCTTGACCAAGAAAGAATATGAGACTCATAGATGTATCGATCATCTCAAAAATGTCATCAGAGATCAAAATAGAGAAAAAGAGATGCTTAATGAGCACTTACAAGAAGCTGAAAAAGATGTGAAAGATCTTCTCGAAGAATTTGATAGATGCAAGGATACTCAAGAATCTGTAATTGATGAGCTTAAAGAAAAATTGATGTTCTTAGAAAAGAAAAATGAAAATTTAAAAGAACAAAGAGCAAGGAAGACCAAGGATTATGAAGAAAGACTTAACGAAGAGAAGCTGAAGAGTGAAAAAGAGTCCAATCTTTCCTTCATAAACTTCATTCAGACTGCAGAAAAGGATTTCACCCTATATAACCAAAGATTAAACACTGATTTTGAGAAATATAAGGAGAATCTCAAGAAAGAAACAACTACTTACAAGCTTAAGACAAAGGCAAACTCAATGGTGAAAGAGACTAACAACTATGAGGGGGATAATATGAGCAAGCCAAAGACCCCTTCTAAAGTAAAGTCCTTCAGCAACAGCACAAAGTCAAAATCAAAAAGAAAGAAGATGTAATTAGAAGACTCCATTTGTGTGATACTATTTCCAATTAACGATTCCTCTAACGGGGTTTTGGGGTTTTGGGGTTTTGGGGTTTTGGGGTTTTAGACAATAAATTGTCAATCTTAGTTCTCTTTTAAGGGGTTTTGGGGTTTTGGGGTTTTGGGG